CGAAGCTTCAGGAGAATATGAAAGCTCCTGGTGTTCATAATTAACCCGTTTTCAGCGAGCATCCACTGCATCCAGCAGTCAGTCTCCTTTCAACCAGATAGTGACTGTAGTCAGATTTTATGAATGTTTCAGCATTTGTTTGTTGCAAAGAAACAACCCGTTTATTGAATTTGGAAAACACAGAAACATATAAAAGAGAAAAGAAGTCACTTATCATTTTTCTACCCAGGGGCAATTACTGTTAATGTTCCGAGCTGTAGAGATAAAGAGGTTCTGAGCTGAGGTCAGATCAACATGGGTTTTAGTCCAGGTGCCTCTATTTATTTAATCTTGGCATGTCTTATTTTTCTCATCTGTGAAATAGAAATAAAAATAATATCTGTTTTCTCTGATAATGTTGATTATTAAACCAGATAATGCATACTGTCAATTTCTGGTGTACAGCACAATATCCCAGTCATGTGTGTATATATATATATTTTTCTTCATGTTCTTTTTCATTAAAGGTTATTACACATATTGAATATATTCCCTGTGCTATACAGAAGAAATTTGTTTTTTATCTGTTTTTATATGTAGTGGCTAACATGCAAATTCCAAATTTATCCCTTCCCACCCCCTTTCCCCCAGTAACCTTAAGATTGTTTACTATGTCTACGAGTCTGTTTCTGTTTTGTAGATGAGTTCGTTAGTGTCCTCTTTTTTCTTTTTCTTTTTTTTTTTCCCAATTCCACATATAAGCGATATCCCATGTCTTTTTCTTTCTTGTTCTGGCTTACTTAGAATGATGATCTCCAGGTCCATCCATGTTGCTGCAAATGGCATTATTTTTTAAATTTTTTATGGCTGAGTAGTATTCCGTTGTATAAATACCTATTCTTTTTGCTATAAACATTTTGTCTTGTGGAGTTCATTGAAAATAGTTGTCAAAACTCTGTTAAAAAAGCTGATGTTCCCATATCTCTTTAAAGAAAAACTCTCTAAATGTCCTTTTTAAGTTCATTAACATGCTTGTATCAACATTTAGCATTTCCCCTTGTATGTGTAAGTGGTTGCTCATTCTTTTTTGTTATAAATAATTCTTTGATGAATATCTTCATTCATCAATTTTTTTGTGGCAGCTCCATTGCATCCCACATCTGGAAATGGCAGTAGAATGCCATCATTCTCCATGGGAACTTTTGGTGATGAAGGAGGTGGTCTCTGTGCTGTCTGGTATAGTAGCCACAAAGCACATGTGGCTACTGAGCATTTGAAATGTAGCTAGTGTGACTGAGAAACTGAATTAAAAAATTTTTTTTAACATACTCTAATTTTAGTTTAATCTTCTATGGCTGGTGGCTGCTATAATGGACAGTGTGGGATTAAACTATTCTGGTTCAAAATGTAGAGTGGACTTAAGCTGGGATTGGTTTTTCATACAGATATATCCATTGAACATTTAGCTTTTTCCTCTGGTCATTTCTTGTACTTTCTGGTACAGTTTCAAGATAATTGCATTTTCCTTTTCTGTGTATTTCTATTTTATTTGAACAGAGGGTTGGTAGATGATGCCTCACATGCCTGCTGCCATGTGAAGTTAGGAGTCTGAGTTGAAGATGTTGGCTCTGTGGGGGCTCTTCAGGTTGCCAGTGACAAGAATAAGGCTTAGCGTGACTTCAGTCTAAAAGGGAACTTCTCTGCTCATGTCACTAAGGGTAGGTGTAGTCTGGCTGCAGGTGTGGTTAGAGCCGAGGGCCCCGTCAGCTCTGTCTCCACACGCCAGCTTTGCGCTCTCTGTGTTGGCCTTGCTAGAAGGCTCTGCCCAAGCAGTGGCAAAGACGGCCACCGGCATCCAGGCTCACGTCCTGCCAGCTTAGCAGCCCTGGCAGAAGGGAAGAAAGCTTTTCCCCAGCTGAGTCCCAGAATGGCCTAGGGCTGTCTCTCAGTGGACTTGTTCCGATTCTGAATCAGTCTCTGTGATCAGGGGTGGAGGCAGAATTTCTGCCCATTGGCTGGTGCTGGGCTGAGGCCCACCCATGGAGCCAGAGGGTGAGATTAGCCCCACCAGACTGTATAGACTTGTGCCATTGGGATAAGAGGATGATTCCTTTCCCCTCAAAGGAAAATCAGGGTGGGAAATGCAGGCAGGCACGTGCTACACGGTGGATGCTCACTGCACTGTATCTTTGAAGCATTTTTTGTTCCTCCAGTTTTCTTCTTAGGAAAGCCAGTTCATTGGGAAATAGGGAAGACTTTCTGTCCTGTGAATTGCTGTCAATTCACGTAGCAGGCTTATCACGTTCACCTCACACTCACACACATAGCAGGCTTCTATCATTTAATGGGACCATTCCCTATCGACAGAGGGTTCTTGGATGTGTCTTCCAATTATGCAAGTGTTGGGATGTTTGGATTCTCTCTGGTCTTTCTCTGCCTGTGTTTATAACAGTATGCTCACAAGTTAATTTTTGCTCTCTAGGAAGTAGGTAACTGTGCCCCAGAGAGTTAACAAGGTAAGTAAATCGATGCATCCATTGTGATTATTTTTCTTTATGAATAAGGCAAAAGATTTATTGCCTAAGCCCCTTCCTAGAAGTATCTGGTTCAGAGCTGATGGGATTTGCATGTCACACTCCATATAATCTAGGAATCTGGTAGAGAGTGGGCACTTCAGGCCCCAGCTGGTATATTGCAGCAGTATCTTGGGACTTATGGGTGTAATTAAACCATCTCTATTAGTAATTACAAAAAGGAACTCACTGTCCTTAAACGTGACTGTAACATACCAGATCTTCATAAAAGCATGAAGCTATTTACTTCATCAGCAAAGTCTAGGTAGAAAATATTTGATTAATACTCCAATTTTCTGATTCAGCCTATTATTATGTAATAAAATACAGTGACCAGAATTGTTTCCTTTTTACTGCTCGTGCTCAGCCTCATCAGAGAGGTTGAAATTTTGTTGCACCATTCATGCCAATTTTCCTTTAACTCTCCAGCATAAAGAGTATCAGCAAATTAATATTCCCTGCCTGTGAGATGGGATTGACCTCATAGGTAGAAGTTCATTTCTTGTCCTAACATCTACTGTACCGTGAAATTAGGAGTCTTCTCTTTATCTGTCTATATATTTTTACTTCATTTTCATTGTGGCAAGAGTGGTGGTAGGGACCTCAATCCAGATATTGTGTCACCGTAATATATTATCAGCTTTTAATTAGTCAGTCGTTATTGTATAAAGATATGGGCAGTGTCGAGAACACATCTCACTTTTTTTTTTTTAGTTGCTCTTTTATTCCAGGTGGAATCACAGGTAAGCTCTCTATATGCAGAAGGGACTGAAAGCATGGAGCCCAGTCTCAGTGAAACCCTGTGTGCATCTCTGCTGAGTTAACCTGTGCTGAATTGAGTTACCTGTGCAGGTAAAAGTAATGAAGCACTCACGGGCTGTGTAGCAGAGGCGTCCTGGGACGGGATGGAGCACGTGGGTTATGTTGTCGGGTCAGTTAGATGATCTGGTGTCCTGGCGCTGCTTACTTGGCTCCTCTGGACCTACATACTCTCAGCTGAGAAGGAAAGGAGGCTTTGGATGACCCATTTCTAAGATGCCTGCCCACTGTACCCCTTTGATTTTAGGCATCCTGAATTTTGTTCATGTGCCGTAATACCTAACGACTAGTATTACAGTTCAAGGTTATATACAACAATCTTCTCCCCCCCCCCCCAAGCTTTCCCAGTTTCTCTTGACCGAGACTCTGTCCTCTGTTCTTACTGTATTTTTCACACATGAGATTGTACATCAGAGCGGGCATCTTTATGCACCTTGTCTTCCCCACGGGGCTGTGAGCTCCATGAGGGCAGATGCCTTCTCGGTTATGGAAAGTATTTTGCAATGAGACAGTCAATAAATATTGTGCAGCTGTATTTCAGAGACCTTACAGGGAAAGACGAAAACAAATGCAAATACAGACGTGTCTGAAAAGGCGAGGGACTCGATGGTTGCGAAATTACTTAGGTACTTACGCCACGTAAAGTAAATTCAGTAGTTTCTCAGGGAGATTTCTTTTTAATGTATATGAAATGCCAAATTTTTGCAGTTGAATGAAGAGGTAAATCATTTCATGCACATAACGGAATCCTTTTGTACATTTCCGATTATTCAGCGCCTTATGGTGGGCGCCCTGCTATGTTATTTCCCATCATGTCAGAATGTGGCCTTTTTGGCAGTAAGTTCATTCCTGTGCTTTTAAGAAAGAAAAGAGAGCTCCCACCGCCCTCACTGGGGTTTGATGTCTCAAGATTGTTTTTGCATGGACTCTGGGGGCCGCGAGTCTGCACAGCGAGACAATGTGAATACATCTCCCCAAATCAATGAGAATTGTGCCGTCCTCTAGAAAATTAGGTTTGAGCCACATCAACGTCAGTGCCTGAGACTGAATAAATCCCATTTCGTGATTGCACCGTGTATGAATTGTGTAATGTGTCTAGATAGGCACGAGCAATGATTGCCTCTCTCCTCTCGGCGTTGCTAAGTGGTAATGTGCAGTGGCTTCATGTGAGTAGTGTCTCAATGAACAGCCCAGGCTGCATGAGATAATTTAGGGCCCGCCCTCAGGAGATCTCTGTGGACCAGTATAAGAGGTGACTGGTAACCAGAGACAATGGGAAAAATACTCTCTATGGCTTTTTTTTTTTAAGACTGATACTGATCTGAAGTACCTCAATGACCTTGCTTCGTACAGAGTCGCGTGTAAGTTGACCATGTTCGTGGACAGAACTTCAGGTTTGTTCCTTCCAGCTGGGAAGTCCATGGGCAGGTCAGGTGACCTTGCATTACTTTTTGTTCATTCAGCCACTTGAAAGATACGCCTGTTGTGTGCCAAGCACCATTTTAGGTGCAGGGGGTGGTGGGATGGGGGTGGGATGTGCCGGTAGGAATAGCTCCGCAGACTGAAAACCTACTATTTTTTTTTTCATTCTCTTCACATCAGGCTTTAAAAACTAACCTGAAGAGGGTGGGAGGTATAGCTTAGGGGTAGAGCTCATGCTTCGCATGCACGAGGTTCTGGGTTCCATCCCCAGTGCCTCCGTTAAGGGAAAAGAATTAAAAAAAATTAGAAATTAAAGAAATAACAGCCTTAAAAAAAGCCCATCCTGAAAAATAAATGCTCCAGTACTGATCTCCTGTTCATTTCTTGCACAGACTTGCAGACAGTCAGAGGGGGGGTTTCAGATCTCCAGTGGTCCCTGCAGGAAGTTGAGCTCTCCTGGGGATGGGCCCTTGGAGCTGTCCAATACCAATACTATTTTAAATTTCAGAGAAATTTAAATGCTTCTTCCAAGGGCTCTCTTCTCACCGAATCCTTTGGAAACTACTCATCCAGTGAGTACTAAGCAAAGGCAGCCACGGGGGCGGGGTTGGTCAGCAAGTACCCCAAGGACCGGGGAGGTAAGTAGGAAAGGTTGTTCTAATTCGGCATGTCCGTTTAGAGCAGTTATTTTTTTCACATCAACTCTGGCTCCTGACGCCTTAGACTTGCTGGGTCTTCATGGTGAGGCAGGAACCTTGGAGTTAATTGAGTCCGTTAGGTCTATTACGCTGGAGCTGGTGCGCATTATTTTTCTACCCTGAGTATCAATGATCAGTTTTCATGGGGAAGCAACGGTAAATTCCGTCCAAGCCATGCAGCTTACTAGCTAGGTGACCTTGGGCAAGTTACTTCTCTCAGCCTCACTTTTCCTTTTCCTTTTTTTATTGAAGTGCAGTTGATTTACAATATTATGTTAGTTTCTGGTGTACAGCATAGTGACTCAGTTATACGTATATATATTCTTTTTTTGTTGAAGTATAGTCAGCTTACAATGTGTCAATTTCTAGTGTACAGCATAATAGTTCAGTCATACATATATATATTTGTTTTCATATTCTTTTTCACTGTAGATTATTATAAGACATTGGATATAGTTCCCTGTGCTTTACAGGAGGACCTTGTTGTTTATCTATTCTGTGTAGGGTAGATTGTCACTTTTCTTATCTGTAAAATGGGGGCATTGTGCCTTTAACATTCTGGATCCATAGCTAGGATTCTGAGACTTAGCGCTGTGCTTGCTAGACCAGCGAGCTGGTGAGAGGCTTTTGTATCAGATGTACTCTGTAGGCTACTGGGATTCTCCCACTTGCCTACCTGCTAAAGCATATGCATATTATCCAAGTAAATATGCCTGTCAGTGTCCTGATTTATTTCACAGAGTGATAGAAGGCTAGAATTTCAGGCTTGAATTAATATTAAAATGTTATTTAATTAGGACAGTCCCATTTGGAGAGCAGGAAACTATGCCATCCATCCATTTATCATGTTATTCTCTTATTCAGCATTTATTAATATTAAGCACCTGCTATGTGCCTGGTGCTATTCCCAGTGCTAAGAAAACAAAGAAGGATAAGATACAGCCCCTGTCTGCAAATCTCTCCGCATCCTCCACAAAGGAGAAAGAACCTTGCACTACAAACCAGTCGCTCTTAATTGCATTGCCTTTTGAGTTCCGTGTGGCTAGAATGAGGTTTATGGCAAGTTGATAATCCCAGCAGAAAAGAAGGGGGAAAAAGATTCCTCAACTCCGGCCCCTGCTAACGTCTTTAATTATTTCAAGCTTAAACTAGAGAATCAGAGGGAAGAACTGTGAAGAAGCCTGTTTAGATACAAAAGCCCCACTAGGAGTCGGACAGCATTTCCCGGGATGAAGGACTTCAGTGTTGGATGAGCACGTTCAAAACTAAAACCCAACCTTCAAGTCAGTGTTCAAAGGAAGTAAAAGACCACACAGAAAATGAGATGTAATTGGGCACCCTGTGGTGTGGGGTCAGCACCCAGGAAGCCTTGAAAGGCCTCAGTGTGGCCGGTCCCCAGGCCTGGAGCCAGCATCTCCTACCTTCCTGACAGTAGCAAGCATATATGTTGGTAAGACATCAGAGTTGTGAAACAGAAGCTAGAAGAGTTTGCTTTTGACTTGTAAGCTTGAATGTTTTTGCTTTGCATTTTAAGATAGAAATAAATTTTATTATAAACTCCCAAATCATAGGTTGGAAGTGGAATGGACCACTTGTGGTTGAGAAGTTTGTGAGATGACAATTACCATACTGACTATTTTTCAGGAAGGTTTCCAGAAAGGAGAAAAACATTCCAAAACAAACAAACAAAAAATAGTTCTGTCACTTGCATCATTTAAAAACCCATGTCCTACCAATTTCTGTCATCTCCTTCCCCACCACTGCCTGCTGAACTCCTCCCCTGCTGAACTCCTCCTTATCCATCAAAGCCCCAGTTCATTGCCCTCCCCTCTGGCAGGCCTTCCTAGGTCCTCTCATTCAGAAGGAATGGCCCTCCTGATTATGCTTCGTGGCACCAGCATTCAGCCCCATGTTCTAGTTATTCCTGTACATGGCAGTCGCCTCTGTTAGACTCTTAAGTGTCCCAAGTGCAATGACTGTGTCTCTGTCTCTTTATAATCGTCTCCCCTGCCTCTGGGCCTTGCTCAAAGAGAGCCCTCCATAATGATGACTCAGTGAATGAATGGAAAACCTCAAATATCCAGTGTCTCTGGTAAATGGAGGCAGTCACGTGGAAGTCATTTTTAGTGTGAACAGGTTCATCAAGGATTGGGAGAAGGTGGACCAAATACACTGTCTGCTTGGTGGATGATACAGAGGCCACAGGGCCAACATAACAAGCTGAAGCCAGATGTTCAGACATGAGAAGGGTTGATTGAGTCAAACAAGGTAAGATCTGAAAGAGCTCAATGCAATGTCTTGCACTTAGGTGCAAAGCATTAATATTAAGAGCAAAATAAAATGCAGTGACTGTCCTGCTGTCCTTAAGGAGAAGGGGGGCGTGGAATTGATTTCAGTGAGTACCTGTCACCAAGAGGCTACTTGAGATGCCTGATTGCTCTTGGGGTAGATGAGTAGAAAGAAGTATTTAGTACCCGAAGAAGCTGATTGTGGATTCCTGTCTCTGTTCTCTGGTGGGCCAGCCGGAAGTTCAAGTAAGTAAGTGTAGACACATCTGCCTCCCATACCAGGCGATGACTCCATGAATGTGGTAGGGTGTCTTCCAGTCTTGACTCCTTTTCCCAGAGCCCAGCACTGGCACAGGATGTGCTAGGTTAGGTAGACACGAGGGGAATGGGAAACGATCTAATCAGAGTGTGTCTGGAGGAAGACTGTTGAATGCTCCCCCCAAAGTTCCTCAAAGAATTAGAAAAGTGAGAGAAGTAACCAGAGGATTTGTACTTTGAAACATGCATTCATTTGTTGGCAGGGATAGGTGTATGGGGGAAGTGCGGAGCATAATCACTGTCTTTAAATATTTGAAAAACTGCTGTGTAGAAGGGGAACTGGAGTTTTTCTGTTGACCATCAAAGAAGTGGAGGTTAGAAAAAGCAAGTTTTGACTCAAGGAGTTGTCTTAAGTACGGAATGGTTTATATACAATAATGTCCTTGCTCCCTGTCCCAAATTTTGTAGGCTGAAAAAATTGAAGGGATAGGGTACGGTAGAAGACTGCCATATTGGATAGGGGAAATGCAAAAATTGCAAAAAAGGATTTCTGGATCCTTCTAATTTTAACATGATTTCTGTTGAATAAACAGTCCTTCTTGACCCCAGAAAAAATTTAGTGTGTCAATATAAGATAAACTATTATTGGTGGTGGGAAGGAATAAACTGGGAGTTCAAGATTTGCAGATACTAATCTATATATATGTGTTTGTCTATTATATATATAATAGATAAACAACAAGTTCATACAATATAGCACAGGGAACTATATTCAGTATCTTGTAGTAACTTATGGTGAAAAAAATACGAACATGAATATATGTATGTTCATATATGACTGGGGCATTGTGCTGTACCCCAGAAATTGACACAACATTGTAAATGGGCTATACTTCAGTAAAAATATATACATACAAACTCAAAAAAACAAAAAGTCGGATCAGAGAAAATGGCCAAAAAAATGAACTAAATGTTACGTTGCTTCACCTTTAAAGCATGTTTACTTGCGTAATCTCAAGGGAACACTGTAATCAAGATACACACGTATAGGGGAAAGACTGTTACTGTCATTCTGTAGATTAACAGCCCCTCTGGCTTGGTGTGGACAAGTGGCTTGTTCAGGGAGTTAGAGGAGCCAGGTCCTAGCTAACGCACCTCACACACCGACTAACAGGTGTTTGCCCTACGAGTCAGATTCCGTTTTTGTCCCCATTTTGTTGATGAAGGGCCTGAGGCATAGCGAGGTTAAGTACTAGTACACAGTCAAGGTCACACAGCCATGAAGTGGCAGACCCAGTGTTTGAACCAGACGGTGTGATTTCAAAGCTCACGTTCGGCAGCTCGGTGCTGGTTTGTGTTTCTGTGGTCGGCGTGGTATCTCTGACGACGCATTGTTAAAAACGTAGTCAGAGAGAGCAGCCAACCGTTGGTTTTGCTATCCACCATCCAGATGACCAAGATACAAAACGTAACGATGAAAGCTGCTTTTCCCCCCCAAATATGGAATCTGTGATTTATGTCAAAGGTTAGCAAGAGGAGTTGGAAAAAAGTACGACTTCCCCGAGGGCCCCAGAAAATCTGGCACCTGACTCCTGAAAGTGCTTTATGACATGGTTCTGCTTCACTCACCGGGCTTGATTGGCATGGAGATGCTAGTTTGCATGGACTTTTCCCAAACCTGCGTCTAGCATTTTGAGTGTCCCAACTTTTCTTGTGCGTCAGTGACGCCAAATAGAATGAGGGAAGCAGAAGATGGTGTCTGAGAGCCCACGAAGTGCACTGGACGTTTTCCAAGTTACCCCAGACCTCAGGGCGCGTTGTTCTTGCTGTGTTATTTGCCTGGCCTCCCTCCTGGCTTATTCACATGCTTCAGGTGGTTTGGCCTGACAAGGAATGTCCCTGGCCCGTATCTTCCTTTATCTTGTGTTCTGTCGTACCCATATTTTCTGCTTTCACATTTTTTTCTCTGTTCTATTTGCCAGTCCTCTCCCCCACACCTTCTGACCCCTGTCCTTGGCTGTCCAGGATCTGTTGG